CTTGAACTACTAATGCAGCCTCATTACATCTACTACTCCTATCACTACTACTATTACTTCATCTGCTTTATTATTAAAATATTTTGTAAATGTACAACGTGCTATAAAATAAAAGGAATGGCTCACACTATTAAGCAGTTATAAAGCAGGCTTTTCAATAGTTGCAAGAATTGACTCTACAACAGTACCTAAAAGCTCAAACTAAATATACCTGATGCTGGTCCATTGTAAATAAGACTGAAAAGGTTCCCCTTGGGAACACAGTGCTGCTGAGACTAGTGCACTAACATGCTGTAGTTCCTGTTTACTGTGGCATCATATTACCAGGGACCGGAGTTTGTACGTGAAAGCTGACCCTTTGATAGACATGGACATTGCTGATGAAGAATGATGGTCCTCATAAGGAGCTGGGTCAATTCAAATTTAAACTCCAGCTGAGCCTTTAAGAAGCCTACTTTAAGATCTTATTTATGTTCAGGTTCAAGTTCAGTGCAATTCATCAATTACTCATGGAACCTTACTGAGGCATGGGTATGAATACTAGGTATTAGAAAGGAGGAAAGGACTGTACATGTTGATGACCAGTATAGAGTAAAGTCTTAGTATGGTGTTGTTGTTCTACCATTAGCCTCCAGATCAATAGCCATAGATGTCAAATCTTGTATAGCGCCTTTCTAATCTTCCAAAAACTCAAAGCACTTTTACACTACGTGCCTTTCACACACATTCACTCAGTGATGGCAAAGTCCATCGAGCATTCATACACATTCACACAGACCGCACAGCATCGGGAGCAATTCTGGGTTCAGTATCTCGCTCAAGGATAATTCGACACATGTCTGGAGAAGCCGGGGATCAAACCAACAACCTTCCGATTAGTGGACGACCTGCTCTGCCTCTGAGCCACAGGCGCCCCATGTCAAGCAGTCTGTGTGCTGAAATCATTATCATTATTTTGCAAGCTATCAGTCAGAGAACAGAGTACGTGTTTTTGTGTTTATGAACCAACCCCAGTTCCATAGGGAAGTAAACAGCCTTGAGAGGAGACTCAAAGAATACAGCTTTCTCCCAGATGGATATACTTTCAGCTTGAGCCACCTGGTGGGACAGAGTTAGCTCTTTTATTAAGGATTGTCTAACTGGAGGGAAGAGCATACATGTTCACATTATTTTCCCTAAACACATAATAAAATAAATAAAATCATTTCACAAACTGTAGTTTTTTTGTAGTCAATCTTTATTTGAAAATGGTGCAGACAGCTACAAATAATTAAACAACCAACCATGTCTTCATTTACTGCACTGTGATATATTAACATAGGTGGAGGTTAAAGCTGCAGTAGAAAAACTAGAAAGATGTAAAGTTGCTTTGGGTTGGTGGCTTACAGATAGTTAATTGTTGGGTCTCATTCCCAGCATCTGTATTTGATGGAATGAGACTCAACAATCAACTATCTTTCTTGGCTCTGATTGGTTGTTTTCATTCAGACCTAATGGATTCTTGCAAATACCATTAGGAGCACTAGGAGGAGCCAGAGGAAACTGATTTTTTCACAGATTATCTGTCTCATGTATTACTGTCAGGATATAGTAAAAGTTTCAGTAAATATATCAAAAAGTTAACCTCCTGCAACCTTAAAGGCAGTAGCGGACTCAGGCTGTTTGAGGAGCAGGGGCAAAAAAAACAGAGCAGCAGCATGCAGAAAGTTGTGATGCATTTATGGTGAAACAGCTTTTTGTGAGGTTAAAAATACTCTTTCATATTTCTTTTCAGAATCTGAGCACAGAATCAGCAAACTTGGAATTTTATTACCATTTTGGCATGATAGGTGATGCTTTTGGCCTATGAGTCACTATTAAGTTAGAGGTTTGGCACTTGCCTTTAACCACTGGTAGTGGTTTTTGTTTTGAAATTTTGCATTTTTGATGGGGTTCATCATCAGTCATAAATGTTGATGAATAATATAGAACAGACCGAACAGAATTCGAGGGATTTGTACACATTTGTAACTTCACAGGAATATAGAAGATTGTATTTTCTGATTTGTGTTTTGGTATTAGGTGGAATCCAGCACAAAGCTGTCTAAAAATCATACTGTTCACCATATGCAACATACAGTATTTCGTTCTCAAGGCCCAGAAGTTGGGCCTCATCTTGTGGTTCTATCAGTAACGATGTATTTTTGTCTGTTCCTGTGCAGATCCCAGCGGCTCCCCGGTGTGTGACCAGTGCCTTCCCCAGTACAGCAGCCCATTGTGCGATGAGTGCAGCGCTGGCTTCTACAAAGCATCAGGGGTTTGCGTTCCCTGCGACTGCAGTGGGAACGCAGACCCTCAAGGCCCCATCCAGCTCTGTCACCCTGACACCGGCCACTGCCTCCGCTGCATCAACAACACCACCGGGCCCCAGTGCCAGATCTGTGTGCAAGGCTTCGTAGGGGATGCACGAGCACATAACTGCACCCGTCCTAGTAAGACCAAACCACAGTAATACCGTTGGGTCAAACGTGATTTTATACATTTAGTTAAAAATAGAATAGATAGTTCTAGAAATAGAACTATCAAAAGATTACAGTTGTATAAAAAATACATATTAAATAAAGTCATATACTAGAAGTAGAGCGGGTCATCCAGTAATTGGAAAACTGTTGGTTAAATCCCATCGACGTGTCCATGGGCAAGATACTAAACCCCAAAACCCCAGCTCCTGAAGGCTGTGTCATCAGTGTGTCAGAATGTAGACCTTTAGTGTGAAGCCCTGGACACACACACACATATATATATATATATATAGACTACAGCAGGTGTCTGCACTGACTGGTAATTTTGTCTTTTGCCACAAGATGTCACTATTTACTTTGGTTATACAAAGTTACAGGCCTGCATTGCATTTGTCTATCAGGATTTGGACTTAAACAAGTTGTCAAATAAAATCTTCACTGATGTTTCTAATGCTTCTGTCTCCTCAGCCCCCCAGCTCATTCCCACACCAGCAGATAAAACCACAACAGAGACCCCCACATTGAGTACATCCGCCCCCTCCACGCCCACCACCAGCACCACTTTGACCTCCTCCACAGCAAGAGACGTCCCGGCCTCCACGTCCAGCGGCAACACGAGCACGCCACTGAGCACTGCTGCTACCACCCAGGCCCTGCTGACCAGCCTGAGCAGCCCCACTGACAACACCACAGCAGCCCTAACCGAGGTCTCCTGGACGCAGTTCAACATCATCATCCTGGCCGTCATCATCCTGGTGGTGCTGCTGCTGCTGGGCTTCGTCGGAGGCGTGTACACCTACAGGGAGTACCAGAACCGCAAGCTCAACGCCCCCTTCTGGACCATCGAACTGAAAGAGGACAACATCAGCTTCAGCAGCTACCACGACAGCATTCCCAATGCTGACGTGTCAGGCCTGCTGGAGGACGAGGCCAATGAGGTGGCGCCCAACGGCCAGCTGGCTCTCACCACACAGGGAAACTGCTACAAGGCTTAGCACCCCACCCCACCCACCCCCAGACTGGACACCTAGATTTACAGATGACACAAAGCTGCTGGAAAGTACCAAATCCAAAGCTCCTTCATGTATGACTGCTTGTTGTTCCCCTGCTGGTCTGCGGCGCTTCACAACACTCTGAAAACTGACAGCAGATGAGATCAAACATATGGAGAAGAGACACAGAGTTTCCACTTGAAACAGTTACCCTTTTTTGATATTATTTTGTGTGTACGATCGGTGAAATGGGTCCAAAGAAAAAAGTGTTTTGTTTGAGTTGTGCCTGCAGGCGATTAGTTAGTAATTGGCATGGCGTGAGACAGGTGCCAAACATACACCTGTTCCCTGAAACAATGATCCTGACACTGGATAGAGGACTTGCTGGAGCCTAGCATTTCAGATATTTTTAAAATGGACTTTTGACTGTTTAAGTTATAAGTGGATCGCCTGAACAGTGATCTTAAACTGAGACAATGATTGTTATTTAATGAAGTTTTATTCAGTTCTTATTTATTGGTTGATGTTTCATTCTCGGGAGAAATGCTGCACATGTATGATGTGTTAATTCATGGTGTTTTATCTTTACTTGCTGTCGAATTGGAATTTGAATTGGCCAGTATGCTTTCATGTATAGTTTGTGTGTTTTGGAGAGAGTCATAGGGGAAGGCGAAGGCTGGTGGCACAAGCGTTTTTAATGACCTCATCTTTTGTTTATAGCTTTCTGTTCTTTGTTTAAGCACGCCAGCTCACCTGAAATCTACGAGGAGTGTTTCGTTTAAAGAACTACCATTTATAAACTCTCACCACTTGGCACTACTGCAGGATAGTGACTCATACTAGGCTTGCGTAAACCGCCATAATCTACTTGTAATCTAATCTGCTCTTTGCTGCCTACCTCAGCAAAAAATTGATCAAACCATTTGAAAAATGTACGTAGAGGTTGGGTTCTGTGACTCAGACTGTTGTTGTGGAGTGAAACCAGCCCCCATCAAGTTGCATCAGCTCAAACAGTGAGTTGCTGTAAAATCGATGTACTTCAAAGCTTCACACAAGATCCTGGACACTGACCTCCATGTTTTCTGTGTTGTTTAGGCTACCATTGGTTGGGTGCGCTTCATTTTACCATGGTGAATGAGTAAAGCTAATTATGGAACTAACTCCTCAGGTACTGGCTCTTTCCCTAATGTAATCACTGTAAATATGATTATTGTACAGATGAATGTGAATAGTAGCACTATTATTGTACAGGTAGAATAATGTGTGTACACTGTCACTCAACAAGCTCCCAGCCTGTCACTCTCCGGGGTGTGATGTTGCAGTCAGCCCACAGCTTTTTGTATTTTTATTTCTTATTCTCAGTGGACTTTGCCATACACACAGCTGCAGGACTAAACATGCACCACCCAGAACCCAAACAAATGATGTAAATAATACCCCAAAGTCAGAGCTCAACTCTCAAATAAAAATGGGTTTAACTGTTGTCTTTGTGTTTCTCACATACCTTTTCATCTTAATCACAAACAGAAACATGGGAAATCCATAATGATACCTAGAGCCTAGGTCTGTAATTCCAGAAATGTTACTGCAGAATGCAGTCCTGACTGACAGGAAGTATTATTTAAGTTTATTGTGATACCTGCGTAACGTCACAAGGCACAGAATTCTGGGGGCGGCAAAAGTATTGTCGTTTTTAATAAGAAGTCAGTAGGAAATGTTGGTTTGCATTAGCCGTAAGTTTTTACAGTATTTCTACTGGAGAATTTCCCCACAGATACCCAGTTGAAGCACTGAGGTTTGAGAAATGTTGTTTAAATGGAAAGTTGGCTTACAAGTTAGTTACAAGCTTAGCCTAGCTTAGCACAACTACTGGAGGCAAGGGAAAACTGCTAGGTAAATAATCATGGTACAGTATGCAACTTGTACAGTGTG